AGGTTGTTTCTTCAAGAGAAAGAACGTGTGTGTACATGGGGGTTGGGGTGGGGGAGCAGATGGAGAGGGAGAGAGAGAATCCCAAGCAGGCTTCAAGCCCAGTGCAGGCCCGATGCAGGGCTCAGTCTCATGACCCTACAATCGTGACCCAAGCAGAAATCAAGAGTTGGATGTTTAATCAACTGAGCCACCCAGGTGCCCCTATAATGAGGTCTTATTTACCATACCGAATATATTTTTTTCTGTGCATAATTTCGTGTTATAGATGTTACAAGGGGAAAATAATGAAATAAAAGGCGTAACCCCTATTCTCATGGAATTTATTACCTATTTGTAAAATTACCATTGCAGTGGGAGAGCTACCCTAATAATTATAATATAACATTATTGTTTTAGGACAGAGATGAAGTAGTTCATTACAAGTGCCTAAAATAATTTTGAGACAATTTATAGGGTTCTAAAGAAGGATAACTATAAAAAAGTGAAGCCAGGTGTGTCCTTAATTTTATTAGAAAGTCTGTAGTGTGGCTTATACCAACTTATTTTTCAATATTCTTTTTCCTTTTTAGGTCACTGTCTCTTAATATTCTGTTACTTCATTACGTAATAGTTATTTCCTTTGATACAACCCAAGTGGAGCCTCACTCTTTTACATTATTTTTCCTGAGATCATTTTTAAGAAATAAGGCTTTGCATTCTTCTCGGATGAGTTTTTCTCTTCACCTATTTAACTATTTTCTTTTTTATATGACACACTTGTTTCTTTAAAAATTTAAGGCAGAAAACAAAACATAAAAATTTAAGGCAAATTTATCTGTTAGTTATAAAACCAAGGATAGCACATATTTAGACCATTTAGTCTTTTAATCATTTGAACTGTCTAAAAGAATAGTAAAATCTCTTTTTTTCTTTTTAAGATTTCATTTTTAAATAATCTCTACACCCAGCGTGGAGCTTGAACCTACAACCCTGAGATCAAGAGAGATGCTCTACGGACTGAGTCAGTCAGGCGCCCCATAAAATCTCTTCTTGATCCAAACCAATCCAAAATTAGCCAGTTAATGTCAAATTGACAAATTACATTGGTAACACTCTCATAAAAGAAAAGATGGAAGCAAAAGAGAAAAAAAATCTTCTCTTTAACATGCAGAATGAAGAGGAAGACGTAAGAGACAATCACTATGAAAGGGAAATGTAATCCTCTAGTCTTCGTGGTCAAGCTGTGACGTCTAGAGTTTTGAAGAAGTGTATTTATGGAAGGTGGTAGCCTCCCCTTCTCGCTATAGTCTAAAAGGTATTTTCTCTAGGAATTAATATACATAAAGAGATAATTAGAAATTAGCGAAGACATTATTCATTAAGGTTGCAAGTCAGATATGATCTCCATGTATAGTTGGGGAACACTCACATGCTAACTTCACTCATTCTTGAACAGGAGTTGGAGACACGATCCTATCCCTGAATTCTTAATATTTTCCCCTTTTTGCTGCTTGATTGTTATTTTCTAGGCATGCTATATTACTAGTTCAGTGTGTTCTAAAATTCCTACCTTTATTTAATGACATATAGAAGAATATTGGGAAAAAATGCATCAAATTTTTCAAGATAAAAGTTTGGATTTTTAAGTCAATTTACTGTATATTGAGTATTTGTTCTATAAAAATACATCAAGAGGGGATAGGAAAAGAAGGTTCAGAAATTGACCAAATGTTCCAAAACTGGCCCTAACTTTTCCCCTGAGCTTTATACCAGTATACCCAAGTACCACTGGAAGTGCCACTGACATGTTTAGTGGTCATGTTAAACTTACAGTGTGAAAAGCAAACTCTCGGGGCACCTGACTGGCTCAGTCAGAAGAGTTGTGACTCTCGATGTTGCGGTCATGAGTTCAAATCCCATGTTGAGTGCAGAGATTACTTAAATAAATAATCTTAATAAAAAAAAAAGGCTTAAAAAAAAAAAAAGATGTGGAAAACAAACTCTTGACTCTTCCCCCAAACCTGCTTCCCTCTTAGTCTTCCCCATATTAGAGAATAGAGTTACCATCCTCCTAGCTAGCCAGTCAGGCCATAAACCTAAGACTCATCCTCAAGTTCTCCCCCCCGCCGCCCGTCACTTCTCTCATCCAGACCATTAGCAAGTCCTCTTTGCCTTTCCTTCAAATTATGCTGGAAATCAAACCATTTCTTGCCAGCTTTCTAACTTGTCTCCCTTGCTCCCGATCTCCCAGTCTATTGTCCATAAGCAGACATGTTAAAAAAAAAAAAAAGGTAATTCAGATTATCTCTCCAGACTTAAAACCTCTCAGTGACTGCCTGTTATTAAAATCCAAACTCCTTACCACATCTTATATTAGTATGTATTGAGTGCTTACTGTATGCCAGCTACTGTGTTAGATGCTTTGCATGTGTTAACTGACATGATCTTCACAACAGCCTAGTGAGATTGGAAATATTATTAACCTCATTTTACAGATCAAGAGTATAACACAGGATGGTTAAATAACATCCAGGGGCACCTCGGTGACTCAGTCGGTTGAGCAACTGGCTCTTGGTCAGCTCAGGTCATGATCTCAGGGTTGTGAGATCAAGTCCTGTGTCAGACTCCCACGTGGGTGGGGGGGGGTGTCTGCTTGAGAGTCTCCCTCTCCCTGCTTGCACATGCTCTCGCTCCCAAATAAATAAATCTTTAATAAATAAATAACATCCAAATCACACAGCTAGTTAGCAGCTAAGCTGGAATTCAAAGCCAAAGAGTGACTCCAGAGAATACAGTCTGGCCCCTTTAAACTATCCCAGCCTCATCTTGTCCTTTTACTGACTTGGCTTTAGCTACACAAGTCTTTTTGTCCTTCAAGCATACCAAGCTTGTTTTCTCCATAGGACTTTTGCACTCGCTATTTCTCCATCTAGAATGTTCTCTCCTCAGACAAGTTGGATGGCCATTGTCATCTCATCATTTAAGTCTCCATTCAGATGTTTTCTCTGAGAGGCCTTCCCTGACCTCTTTAAAGTTACTTTCCCACATATTCACAGTCACTCTTTATGTTTGTTTCCTTTTTATGTTGTTTTTGTAGAAGAGAAGTATTTACTCAGTAAGTATTTGTTGGATGGATGGATGTTGACTCTTTGTTGAATGTTGTCCAGTAATAGTGATTAAGGGTATAGGCTCTGAAATCAGACTCCTGCGTTCATATCCCAACTCCCTTGTTGAATTGTGTAAAGTTGGGAAAGTTGTTATCTGCCTCAGTTTCCTCATCTGAAAAATAAAAATAATACTACTTACCTTAGAATTAAATAAGTTAACGGTTAATGCATGGAGCCCAGAGCAGGGCTTTAATTCATGACCCTGAGATCAAGACCTGAGCTGAGATCAAGAATCAGACACTTAGGGACGCCTGGGCGGCTCAATCAGTTAAGCGTCTGCCTTCAGCTCAGGTCATGAGCTGCAAGGAGCCTGCTTCTCCCTCTGCCACTCCCCCTGTTTGTGTTCTCTCTCTCTCTCTCTGAAAAATAAATAAAATCTTAAAAAAAAAAAAAAAGAATCAGACACTTAACCAGCTGAGCCACCCAAGCACCCCTGCATGTGACTATCTTAAAACAGGATGTAGAAGGGGTGCCTGGCTGGCTCAATCAGTGTAGCATATAACTCGTGATCTCAGGGTTGTGGGTTCAAGCCCTATGTTGGGTGTAGAGATTACTTTTTTTTAAAAGTGCATAGCATGTCACAACTCAAGACATGTTATTTCTCTTACACTTATTATTTTCAGGTTTTTGCTGTTATTAATAGCATATCAAGGAAGCTCTTTAGAAAATCATATTTTCATGCCCTACTCCAGCTGAATCAGAATCTCTGTGGAAAGGGCCCAGGAATCTTTTTTTTTTTAAAGATTTTGGCAATTGTGATAAACACCCAAGCTTGGGAACTGTGGCAGTAGAGTTTGAGCCTCACTACTCAGGTTCTACATAGACATGTGTGACATCATGACATCATGCATTGGCATCATGCAGTAATTTATAATTTTGCTAAGTTGTAAAGTGAGAGTAAGTCATTGTGGTGAGTGGGTCCAGAAGACTCCCACCCCCCTCCCTGGCATCCCCATCCTGGTGTAGCTTCATTTTCTTCTCTGTGTCTCTACTAGTAAGCAGTAAAGCTTAGAGTGACTCTAATTTTTATTTCTGCTTGAAAAATCATCTCAAAAAGAAAACTGAGGGGCACCCGGGTGGCTCAGTCAGTTAAGCGTCTGCCTTCAGCTCAGGTCATGATTCCGGGGTTCTGGGATCAAGCCCCAAGTCAGGCTCCCTGTTCAGGGGAATCTGCTTCTCCCTCTCCCGCTCCCTCTGCCCCTGCTTGTGCATGCTCTCTCTCTCTCACTCTCACTCTCTCTCACTCACTCTCAGACAAATAAACAAAATCTTAAAAAAAAAATTATGGAGAGATTTTTATGGAGAGAAATTATGGAGAGAAACTGGAATTATGGAGAGAAAATTATGGAGAATTATGGTGATGCCAGGAAAGATACTTTTTAAAGTGGTGGTTCTTAATCAGAAACCAGAATGGATAGTTTTGGTGATTGATACATTAGAGTATGGAATGGCAAATTTGTTGCTTGGTTAGCACCGTGCCTTAAATATTGTCTACCAAATGCTGTCTGTAAGAACAAAAACTCATCAAACTATCTTGGCAGTTGCACCAACCAAAATGGCAACCAATGCAAAAATTGTAAGATGTCAGGGAAGTTATATGTCATTGTTATAGTTACAAGTTTGGGTATTAATTTTTTTGTGAATCTCATACTACATAAGACACGATTTCTGCCCTCCTGGAGTTGGAAAGACAAAACCAGTGCACACAAAACAGGAACAAATGAAATTCAAGTTCGTAATAAGTGATAGCCAGCAAGTGCTGTGAATTTCAGAAAAGAAAATATAAGATGTCAGCTAGGGGGTTCATTGAAACAGTTGTGGCTGGTTAGGACTTACACATGAAATTTTCTTTAGTTGCAGGACCAGCTCTGCCCCCTAATTATAAAAGCAGTAGCTCAGAGTCCTCAGACAGCGATGAGGACAGTAGTTCATTATACGAAGAAGAAAATCAAGAATCTGAAGAAGATGACACCGGACCAGCAGCAAGGTCAGTCACTTAAATTAAATGATGAACCAAGCTTCAAACCTAGTATACATTGGCTGGAACAGAAGCTAGTCAGAGAACACCGTATCTGTATTTTTACAGCACAAAAAGAAATCCTTTCATATGGTATTGCCTCATGAACTATATTTTGAGAAAGAAATGTATTCTAGTAGCAGATAGCTGTGGAGATATCTAGGATTTCAATTAAATTCTTATAGAAAGGATTTTTCCCCAAGGGATTACTGAAGTGACTAAATATTCTAAATAAGCCATAGCATTTCTTTTAAAAATTATTTATGCAGTGGATGGTTTTTGCTTAAGTAAATGAATGATTTCCCTCTAACAATCTTATTTACTCTAGGTCCATGAAAATAAGAAGTAGAATCTTTGTTTAGTATTGGGGGACAAGATTTTTTTTGATGTATTTTAAAGAATATGAGACAGAAATAGCAACTTAAAACCCTTCCTGAATGAGATTAAAATCGAGAGTCATGAACTTTTTGCTCAAAAACTTTCAGCATGTAGACTGAGGTTCAAAACCTCAGCAAGTGGAATCTTTAACACTGTAGAAGATATAGAAAACTGATAAAGTATTCCTCCTGTAGAGAATTAACCAAAAAATAAATTCCAGGAAAAGGTTAGTATAAGATCTACTGTGGTATCCATTTGTTCTTACTGGGCAAGATTAATTTATTGTTTCAGTATTTATACAACTAGTTGAAGTTAGTGCTTCCTTTAAAACTTAAAATTTCTCTATGAAAAAATTGCATAAAGTTGCGCTACTCTGTTTTTAGAAAACAGAGGAGAAATCAAGATGATGACGATGATGATGAAGGGTTTTTTGGACCAGCTCTTCCTCCTGGATTTAAAAAGCAGGATGATTCTCCTCCAAGGTAATAATGTGTGATAGTTTAAGCCTGTCTTTTTAAGTATTTCGGTTAGTGTTTGTTAATTCACTGAAGAGTTGTCCGAAATTGTTGTTTAACTTAGAGATTTATATAACATTTGAAATGCATAGGGAAAAGTTTTGTTTCCTGTAACAAAAAATGATTATCTAATTGTAGTTTATAAAAAAACTTCCACATCTCTTAGTTGGTGCTCACAAGAGTGTGTTTTTTAAATTTTTTTACTATGTTAATCACCATACATTACATCATTAGTTCTTGATGTAGTGTTCCATGGTTCATTGTTTGTGCATAACACCCAGTGCTCCATGCAGAACGTGCCCTCCTTAATACCCATCACCAGGCTAACCCATCGCCCCACCCCCTCTCCTCTAGAACCCTCAGTTTGTTTTTCAGAGTCCATCATCTCTCATGGTTCGTCTCCCCCTCCGACTTACTCCCCCTCGTTCTTCCCCTCCTGCTATCTTCTTCTTTTTCTTTTTTCTTAACATATCTTGCATTATTTGTTTCAGAAGTACAGATCTGTGATTCAACAGTCTTGCACAATTCACAGCGCTCAAAGTGTGTTTTCTAGTAGACTGGAACATTATCCTTCTTCCCCCCCTTTTTTAAATACATAAGGTTGCACACATAATGAGTATCCTATCTGGCCTGGGACTGGAATCCTGGTATTTGACTTTAAAATCAGGCACTTTCTTAGTTATTTGGTGACAGAAGAAACAATTCCTGTATGCCACGTTAAACAATTTGACTAACTTCTCTGTACCTCAAATTTGCCATCTGAAAAATAGGATAACAACAAGTACCTTTCAAAACTGTTGTGATGATTGAGATTTCATATTTACATATACACGTGTGTGTGTGTGTCTCTTACGTGATGCCTGGCCCCAAGTAAGTATATAGTAAGTATTGATTCCTATCTTCTTCTCAGAATTATAAAATTTTTAAATGCTGGATATGAAGTTGCACACCAAATTGTTTATACCAGAACACTATTACTAATACGCAAGAGCAAATAGAAAAGTACATTGTACTTTTTACATTCAAACTTTGTAATCACATTCGTCAGCTCCAATTTTCATATTACCTTGGTCCTTTTAGATTAATAGGGATAGACTCTCCACTGATTTTATATGGCCCCCAAGCCAAGCATAATCTTTAAAGGATCGTTTAAAGAACAAAGACAGTCATGCCTAAGAGCCCTATAGATGGCCCTCAAAGCCTAAAATGTCCTATTTGGCCTTTTACAGAAAATTTGCTGACCACTGGGGCATAACATTCTTTTCAAGAAAACACATTATTAGATGTACAGCAAATTCTTTCTTGAGAGTTATATTTTGGCTATAAAATGGCCAGGATCTGAACCCAGACCTGCTGATTCTGGGTAGTGTTTTTCTCTCTGCCAAGAAGCTTGTCTCTGAGGCTCTCGTTGAACACAGTGCAACCTGGAAAATTCAGCTTAGGACTTCAGTGCCATGCTGGTTGGTAATCCTGGCACAGTGACATCTCGGAAAAACACTGGTATGAAAGAAAGGATGGAGAAACTAAAAAGCACAAAAGAAAGGAGAAAATATCTTGTCTCTGTTATTTTTTTCCCCTGACGTAAGGCTTTCTCTTTTTAAGACCCAAATTTTAGGCACTTCTCCCATCTGGACTGATATCTGTTTCCTCAGAAATATGGCAGTGGGGCAGCTTGAAAGAAAATGAACTTTGGCATCAAGGAGACCAGGGTTCATACTCTAGCTCAGCCACTTACTAGTTTGTGATGTCCTTGGGCATGATTTTGCTCACCTAGAAGATGGAGTGACTTATACCAACCAGCGTTGTTTGAAGGAAACAGAAAGGTGCTCTGGTTGATACGTGGTTAGCACAGCACCTTTTCCCTTGTCTGGAGGTCTTGCGTGACTTACGTTCATTCTTGTAGACCTCCACATATTTATTAGATCATTAGCGAGGATGGTGTTTAGATTTTTATACTACCTTGGCACACGTAACCTATAAGTTGCCAACATCTGTTGTATGCATCTGCTGTTTACATTCTTAGAACTCAATTTCTACTTAAGGAGTTCTGACTATAATTAGATTGCCCCTGAAGAATGCGTCAATGGACAGTGACGATCAAAAGTGAAGGCCAAAGCACAAAATAGAAAAAGATCTTCACAGGCTTTAATTCTTAATAAGGACTTTTAAAAAATTCTTATTTTTCTTTAATGTAGTTCTTTTAGGAAGTGGGTATACACCACTGCCACAGAGATTTGAGAATTACTGGTTTAGTATCTTAGCATTGACTAACAAATAGAAAGTAAAAATGAGAAAATTAGATTTTTTTTAAAGATACTACTAAGTGGGAAAATACTAGGTTATAAAATAAAAATAATATGTTAAATAAAATTCTCATTTTCAACATTTGCTATTATTTGGCTTTATATTTGTGATCTTTTATTCTAAAAACTGCTTTTTTTAAAGTCAGGGAGAATGTTAAAGGTACATTTTATTTTTCAGGCCTATAATAGGTCCTGCACTACCACCTGGTTTTATTAAATCTACACAGAAAAGTGACAAAGGCAGAGATGATCCAGGACCACAAGTATCATCATATTTCAACTCTGAGGTTTGGAAATTTTTTGATTAAAGAATAAGATGTAGCAAACTCAAGATTTTACAGAGTAATAATTGTAACCATTTGGCTCAAATGTAACAAATATGCAATCCTATTCCCATTAATCTAGGATTGTAAGGTAGGTAGATGAAATCAAAAGCTTGTCCCAGAACCAAGGTGTTAGAAAAATAATAAGGCAGTTACATGGTGACAAAGGTGTTACCTAAAGGCCTTACCTTTAAAGGGAAGCTTTAAAGTGCTAGGAAATAGAACATGATGAAAAGTTTAAAGAATCATTGTGATTTGACCTGAAAAAGAGAAAGCCGAGGAATTTGTTGACAATGATCTTTGCCTTGAAATCAGCTCGTACCTATATAGCTCTGGTGTCTGTATATAACGAAGCTGGGAGTTAAGTGATTTTATGAAAAGACAGGTCAAATGATTTGAGAGTCAAGTATAAAAGCTGTTTTCTTGTTAGAGGCCTAGTCCTTTTTCTTTTTTTTTTTTTTAAGATTTTTATTTATTGAGAGAGAGAGAGAATGAGATAGAGCATGAGAGGGAGGAGGGCCAGAGGGAGAAGCAGACTCCCCACTGAGCAGGGAGCCCGATGCGGGACTCGATCCTAGGACTCCGGGATCATGACCTGAGCCGAAGGCCGTCGCTTAACCAACTGAGCCACCCAGGCGCCCCTAGAGGCCTAGTCCTTAACAATAGCTGAGAATTATAGAGTCGTTTATAACTTGTAATGCTTTTTCCCTGTCTATGGTTGGATATTATTTTTATCTTCTCTTCAACCGTATGCAATGGATATGATCTGCCACCTTACAGATGCTAAAAAAAAAAAACAAATTAGGTAACTTACCCAAGATCCTAAGATTGCAGTTTATACTTATCAAAGCAAGGCTTAAACCCAGTTTTTTTTTTTTTTTTTTTAAGATTTATCTTTAAGTAATCTCTACACTCAACTCAGGCTTGAATCCACAACCCCAAAATCAAGAGGCACTCGCTCTACCAACTGAACTAGCCAGGCACCCCTTAAACTCAGTTCTTAAGACTTTGGATCACCTGTTCAATCTATTATTCTACAGTAGCTTCCTGTACATTCATCTCTACTGAGAATTCAGCAGTTACACTGAGGTTGTTACTAAGGAAAATGTAACACAGTGGTTAAGATCATGAACTTCAGAGTCATTTATTCATTCCTTCAACAGATACTTACAGAGCACCTACAATGTATCACGCACATAGTTACAGAAATGAGTCTGTCAGCAAATCCTGTTGTTCCTACCTTCAAAAGATATCCACAATCCAGCCATTTTTGCGACCACCCTGGTCTAAGTCAATATCATATTTCACCTGTTTTATTGGTCTTGATACTTTAGCCCTTGTTTTTCTGCTACCCCTTCTCAACACAGCGGCTAGAGTGGCCCAGATAAAATGAAGTCAGATCGTGTCACCCACACTCAGAGCCGTCGGCTTGCTCCTCCTGTCTCTGCGTAAAAGCCGAAGCCCAGGGCACCTGGCTGTCTCAGTCAGTAGAGCATGCAGCTCTTGATCTCAGGGCCGTAAGTTTGAGCCCCACCTTGGGTGTAGGGATTACTTAAAAAAAAAAAAAAAAAAAATGAAGGGCGCCTGGGTGGCTCAGTTGGTTAAGCGACTTCCTTCGGCTCAGGTCATGATCCTGGAGTCCTGGGATCGAGTCCCTCATCGGGCTCCCTGCTCAGCAGGGAGTCTTCTTCTCCCTCTGACCCTCCCCCCTCTCATGCTCTATCTCATTCTCTCTCTCTCAAATAAATAAATAAATAAATAATTTTTTTAAATGAAAAATAAAAAAAGCCCTTACAGGAACCTCTACAATCTGGTCTCCTTTTAGCTCCCTGCTTTTCTCTCTTACTTTAATCTGACCACACTGTGCTCCTTGCTGTACCTCCTCACATATGCTGGGCAGGCTCCTACCCCTGAGTATTGATGCCTGTAATTCTCTCCAGAATGGTCTTCCCCTAGATATCTGTGTGGCTTGCCTCCCAGAACTTCCGTTTTGGCTGGAATGTCACCTTAATGAGGTCGTTTCTGACCTCCTAATTCAAAATTGCTAACTCCTCTTCCCCTCCTATCTCCTTCCTTCCTTTAATTTTCTCCAGAGCATCTATCACCACCTCAGATACCATTTATTTTACTGCTTCTTTTTGTTTATTGTTGACCTCTCCCCCTAGAATGTGAGTCCATTGAGGACAGAGATTTTTGTCTTCTCTCTAGTGTATATTCAGAAGTGTTTGTTGAATGAATGAATAAGTTAGACATAGTCCCAGCTAATCACACCTGCAGTGTAGTGGAGAATACAGACATTAAACAAACATCCAACATTATGAGTGGTTCCAAAGGCAAGACAAAATATAGTGGAAGCATGACAGACAACTTTAAACTAATCTGAAGAAATGAGACAAAGTCTTTGAGAAAATGTCTAAAGATTGATGAGTTGGAGATATCTCAGCAAAGACGGCAGGAAAGATTGTTCCAGAAAGTACAGATAGCTTCTTTGAAGGCAAAAGAGTATGGGGAGGGAGAGTGGGGTTTAAGAAGTCCAGTGTGGTTAGCGTGGAAAGAAGGAGAAGGCAAGAGCCACTGGAGCTTCGAATCCTGGGTGAGTTTAGTTTCATGTCAGTATCATGCGGGTTGTTATCCTTATCTTAGAGGGTTGTTGCAAGGATTAAGTCAGAACAGTAGGTATTCAACTTATAGTAGCTCTTGTCATTATTCTTACCATCTTCACTACTGATGCCGTGAGAGTATCTTTGAAAAATTTAGTCTAAGTATAAGGAATCCTGCTAGCAAGGTTGCTAAATACAAGAATAAATTCCCAGATGAAGTACCCCCAGGCACATGGAAGACTGAGCTGGCAGGTCATACTTGGGTCTCCCTGCCACAAACCCAAAGAAATGCTGGGGGGAAATAGCAACAAAGTTAATACACAGCAAAGCTCGAAAGAAAGGGAAGTCTACAGGTGCTAGTGACATTGAGAGAATTCAAAGCTAGGGCAGGAAACACAGCAGAGGACTAGGGTGGTTTTAGGGAAGCCAGCCATAGCCCTAGAGTTGGGCTTGGGGAACAGAGCTGCAGCTTCGGCTGTGCAGGCAGAGGAGGGGGAATTGAATCTCTGAATAAAACCCACAGCCTCAGAGTTCCACTCTGTCTGCAAGAAGAGTCCTGGAGAAATATAACCGCGGCCCATTGAAAGTGGGAAGGAAGTTTCATGCTCTCCATAACCTACTTTCAGATGATTCCCAATATGTCTGTCTGTCTGCCTCACACACACAGGGGCAGGGGAATGGGGAAAGAAAGATAAATATGGTAAAATGTTAGCAGCTGATGAATTTGGGTGACGATACATGGGTGTTAGTTGGGAACTACATTTTCCAAAAAGTTTGTTAAAAGTGTAGCATAATTCAGCATTATTCATGCTTGGAATTTTGTCCTAATTCACCTAGACAACAGATGGATAGTTTATATAATTCCCTGGTGGTATCTGTTCTGTATTTTCTACTTCTCTTGGCAGAAGGTGAGGGTAAGGGTGGACCAGGGCTCACCCCACTGTGTATCTGTTGTGCTTGGTAGTACTTTCGGTTTCGAATAATTGCTTTATCCTTTCCCTCTAACGAAACCTTTTTCAAAAAATACTTCTTTTTGTTGCATATTTTCCTTTTTCAAAGAGGGACTTCTCTTAGTCTCTCATTCACAACATATACCCCTAAATTAAGACATACACAATAATACTAATTGTTAGCATTTGTTGAGCAATTGCCATAAGCCTGACACTGCAAAGCACAACATAAACATGTATTTGCATGACTTAATTGTATTCCCAGGCCACATAAACTGAATTTAATCGAAACAGCAATCCTGGGAAATGGTGTGTCAGCCAGAAAGCTTTTAGCAGCAAACAACAGAAAATCCCACTCAAAATGGAACTTTGTCTTAACCTACTTAGTTAGCAAATGGCCTGTTTATGTAATTGCCTGGGTGATATATAATCTATATTCCCAAAATAAGGAAAATGTCTTTCTTATGTAATAAAAGGTATAGAACTAGGGTCATGCTAGATTGGTTGATTGAACAGCCTAAAATGATATCCAGGCCTGCAGCTTTTTCCGTCTTTTCTGTCATCTACAGTATGTTAATTCCTCTTAGGGTGACCCTTCGTTATAGCAGGAAGCCTGTCAAAGTTCTAAGATTCCCACGCACATGCCAATGTCCAGACAGAGGAGGGAATGATCCTACCCTGTGCCCCTTTTGTAGAGGAAGGAACACCTTTCCAGGTTTCCTGTAGGCCTCTCCTCGGGTTTCCTCCGCCAGAATTGGATCACATGCCCACGCCTTGGCTAGTCAGTTGGGCAAGAGGAATTCAACCAAATTGATTGGCTAAGAATTACCAGCATTTTTCCCCAGGAGTTAAGAGAAGTCCCAGTTTTCTGAGAAAGGCATGGCTCCAAAGAGGATGAACAAAACATGGGTTCTCTTAAAAATAGAGTAGTTACTGGTTGGAGCTGTTATAATCCCGATCTAAAAAACAAAAAACCAGAACTCCTGGGTGGCTCAGTCAGTGAAGCAGCCAGCTCTTGATTTCAGCTCAGGCCATGATCTCAGGGTCCTGGAATCAAGCCCCGTGTAAGGCTCCATGCTCAGCGGGGAGTCTGCTTGAGGATTCTCTCTCTCCCTCTCCCTCTGCTCCCCCCCGTCTCTCTCTCTCTCTAAAATAAATAAATCTTAAAATATATAAATAAAAGACAAAAAACCAAGGCCTAAAAAGGCTAAATAGCACGTCCGAAGTCACATGCTAATACGAAAGCAAATTGAGGCCTTGAAACTAGTTCTAACTGCGGTCCACAGTATAAATCAGTAAGATATATAATTTCTACTGTACTTCTGGATAAAATAGCTCACCTTTAAAAAAATTTTTAATTCGGGGCGCCTGGGTGGCTCGGTCGTTAAGCGTCTGCCTTTGGCTCAGGTCATTATCCCAGGGTCCTGGATCGAGTCCCACATCGGACTCCCTGCTCAGTGGGGAGCCTGCCTCTGCCTCTCCCACTCCCCCTGCTTATGTTCCCTCTCTTGCTGTTTCTCTTTCTGTCAAATGAATAAATAAAATCTTTAAAAAAATTTAACTCAACCAGGACACCAAAATGATTAGATAGCTAGATTGGATTTGGATTATGATCCCAGTTTTTCTTTTTCAGTTTAGTGTGTTGGGCCAGATTTTCATTTTGCTCCCTTAGTTTATAACTCCCAACACTCTATTTGATCTCTGTTTCTAAAAATTCCACTCATCATCCTACCAAGACGTGCAAGATGTGCCGAATTCTATTTTTATAAAATCATCTCTTGTTAGATGGAAGTAAAAACAACATTTGCTTATCCCATCATCTTACACTTTAATACTATATTAATGTCATGCCTCTTATAGTTGTAAAAGTTCATTGTATCTTTTATATTTCTTCATTTTATGTCACCAAGTATTATTTTGTAAGGGGTATGAATATGTTTAAGATAGTATCTTTGACATCAAAGAGCTTACCTTTGTAGAGGTGAGCTATAAACACTTAAGGTTAAACATTAACAGTTGAAATAAAAAAAAAATAGGGGATTCTCTAGTGTAAGTAGAAAACATACTGTCCTTAATCTTAGAATATTTTCATCTTAAATACCAGTTTTATAACCTTGAACAAGTTGTTTAACCTTTCTAAATATACTTCTCCAAACCTAGGTTTCCTAGAAAAGAAAATAGGAATAATTATGCCTTTTCACAGTTGTTATAAGGATCAAATGATGCATTGTATACCAAAGTCCATAGTTAAAGTGGGTGTATGTGTGTGTGTGAGTGATTTAGAGTAAGCCAAGAGATAACATGTAATTATCTAATTATTTGTACCAATAGCAATTGGGTTAAGGGTGCAGAGAAGAAACCACAGATAGTTACCACTGAGTAGCTTGTGGGGAAAATGTAAACAACACAAATGAACTTGATCCTGATAGTTTGAAAAAAGACGAGCAAGAAGCTGCTCGTCAGAGCTGGAGGACAGATGTCTTATTGTTGTTTATCTTAACCTGTCTCCTCCTTGAGAACAAGGACTGCTTGAAGCCCTAGAGTATATAGCATTTAACAGAGTCTTACATTCAAACCCTTTATTCAAATGATTGCTTGAGAACAAATTCAATTCACTTATTACAATACTGTTAGGTCTTTAGGATAAAGGGGGTGCTTTGGGAACGAAGTTAACTCATTTGGGCCAGTATTTGTGGACTGTTGCAAGCATTTGTATCTCCGTGCACTGTGCTGAGTCATGAAGGCTCATAGAGCTTCCAAGAACATCTTACTTGTGTATGTCTTATTCCAAAGAGCTTTTTCTGTACCAGGAATGAAAATGGTTTCAACTTTTGTCATCTCCAACCAACTAGTAATAATTACCTGGACTATTACATTGAGAGGAATTGTGAGGCCACATCTGTGTCCATCGGGAAGAAAACTGAAATAATTTAATGAGGTCTGCCATGGAAATGGGAGGGTGGAGACAATCCACATTACGTGTATTTGTCATCTCTGTACTTTAGGAAGTACGAGGAAGTACTATGTACTTAAGGAAGGCGAAGAAAAAGTCCTCATTGCTCAGTGATTAGCCAGCAGTGCATTGTTTGCTTTTTTGTTTTAGTGTCTCTAGGTATTCAGTTTCAGAGAAATTTTAAGTAATTTAGTATCATTTTCTATAAGCTGTGGCTCTGTTCCTGGTTTAAAGGTAATGTCTTATTTCAGAAGGAAACCAACAGCAGTGAAGATGAGGACATTGTTGGACCAATGCCTGCAAAAGGACCAGTTAACTATAGCGTCACAACAGAGTTTGAAAAAAGGGCCCAGCGAATGAAAGAAAAACTGACCAAAGGAGACAATGTAAGTTTTAAAGAGACTATACTCTGAGAGCTAAGCTAAATGGACTAAAAATCTAAATTTTAAAAATAGACATGAAAGAAAATACATGCACGAATGTATATAAAGAAAATTTAGGAGCAAAGTAACCCAGAAGCTGGAAAAGGAAAAGACTGGCAGATTTGCCTAGCTAAAAATTTCTGTTTAGCAAAACATAACAGAGTCAAAAAAATAATAAATTAGATGAAGGTATTTGTAACATATATGACAAAATATCAATCCTTTATATTAAATTCTTTCTCTTAAAGTGTATTTTTTAACCTTAAAGCCTCAACTGAGAAACATGGCCACTTACAGAGTATTTTACATACACACACACACACACTGTCCAGTCTACCTTTTTTTTTTTTTTTTTGGCTTTTTATTTCTCCTAAAGGATTCATCTAAACCAATGACAAGAGAATCATGGATGACTGAGCTTCCTCCAGAAATGAAAGACTTTGGTCTTGGGCCCAGAACTTTTAAGAGAAGAGCCGATGACAGATCTGGAGATCGATCAGTCTGGACAGACACCCCAGCGGACAGGGAGAGGCAAGCCAAGGTGAGAGGGTTTGTTTATTCATGTATTTCTGCCCATGTCTGCTCTATTTTGAAAAGGGATAAAGCATAATTATTTCAGGGTACTACTTTTAAAATTATGATTCCAAAGGGAAAATACAGATTTCCCCCTGAAAGAAAATAACGAAAGTGACACCAATTGCTTACTATGTCCCAGTGAACTGTCTCATTTAAATCTCAAGAAAACCCAGAGACATGGACTTATTGACTTCATTTTCTAGAGGGAGAAACTAACTTTTATGAGGTCACCTTTTCTGGAATTAGAGGACTGGTAAGTAATGAACAATAATTCTGTTCTAGACCTTTCTATAACAGCAGAGGAGGCCACAAAAGAGGAGATGTGGAAGTGAGCTGCACACTTTGGATGACTGGTGCTGGAGTGCCTGTCTACTCTTTCTTAACTGGTGTTTTATAAAAATAACGTATTGGCATTTTTATAATTAGCCTTTAAGATTGTTTCAAAAAAGACATTCCCTTGTTTACATGGATTTAATCATGCCTACATTTAGTTGTGCTTTTCTCTGTCCTTCTGTTCCTCATTATAGGTAAATAGATGTCTAGCCTACAGCCAGATATGCAGGGAGTCTTCTTCAGAGGACAATATCACAGAAAATGGAGCAAATGGAAATTAGACAACACAGTGATTTTAGGCCCTGTGTTTGAGTTCTTTAGATCCTTTTCAGTACAGAAAGTGTTTTGCTCAGTTTTATCGTGAACTCATAAAGGGATTATTAATACTCCTTAAACTTTATGCTATACTATATTAAGTATATAGTACCACAGACTTTATTTATGGCATAAACCATATAGTATCGGTATCAGCTATTCATTTTTGAGGTAGTCCCAGTAGTTTATTTTTTATTTTGTTTCCCTTACCTCAGGAGACATATCTAGAAGAAGTTGCTAAGGCCAATGTCAAAGAAGTTACTGCTTGTGTTCTCTTCTAGGATTTTTATAGTTTCAGGCCTCACATTTAGGTCTTGAATCCAATTTTATTTTATTTTTGTGTGTGGTGTGAGAAAGTGGTCCAGTTTCATTCTTTTGCATGTTGTCCAGTTTTCCCAACACCATTTGTTGAAGAAACGTCCTTTTTCCCAGTGGGTATTCTTTTTCTGCTTTGTTGAAGATTAATTGACCATATACTTGTGGGTTCACTTCTAGGCTCTCTATTCTGTTCCATTGATTTATGTGTCTATTTTTGTGCCAGTACTGTACTGTTTTGATGATGACAGCTTTGTAATAGAGCTTCAAGTCCGGAATTGTGATGCCTCCAGCTTTTTCTGTTTGGAGGTTGCTTTGGCTATTTGGGGTCTTTTGTGGTTCCATGCAAATTTTAGGATTACTGGCTCTAGCTCTGAAAAATGCTGTTGGTATTTTGATGGGGTTGCATTAAATGTGTAGATTGCTTTGGGTAGTATGAACATTTTAACAATATTTGTTATTCCAGTCCATGAGCCTGGAATGTCTGTTTCTCTGTGTCATCTTGAATTTCTTTCATCAACCTTTTATAGTTTCCAGAGTACTTTAGTTAGGTTTATTACTAGGTATCTTACTGGTCTTGGTACATTTGTAAATGGGATTGATTCCTTAATTTCTCTTTCTCTTGCTTCATTATTGGTGTATACAAATGCAACAGATTCCTGTACATTGATTTTTGTTCTGTGTGACTTTACTGAATTCATTTATCAGTTCAGCAGTGTTTTGGTGAAGTCTTTTGGGTTTGCTATATAGAGTATCATATTGTCTGCAAATAGTGGAAGTTTCACTTCTTCCTTGCCAATTTGGATGCCTTTTATTTCTTTTTGTTGTCTGGTTCCTATGGCTGGGACTTCCAGTACTATGTTAAGTAAAAGTGGTGAGAGTAGACATCCCTGTAGTGTTCCTGACTTCAGAGGAAAAGCTCTCAGTTTTTCCCCATTTAGGATGATCTTAGCTATGGTTTTTTTCATATACGGCCTTTATGATGTTGAGGTTATGTTCCCTTTAAACCTACTTTTTTGAGGATTTTTATCATGAATGGATGTTGTACCTTGTCAAATGCTTTTTCTGCATCTATTGAAATGATCATATGGTTCTTATCCTTTCTTTTATTAATGTGATGTCTCACATTGATTAATTTGCAAATATTGAACCACCCTTGCAACCCAGGAATAAATCCCACTTGATCATAGTGAATGATTTTTTTAATGTATTGAAACAACATTATTGTTTGATTTGGTTTGCTAGTATTTTATTGAGAATTTCTACATCTATGTTCACCAGGGATATTGGCCTGTAGTTCTCACCTTTTTTTATTTTTTAACTTATTTTAAGTAGGCTTCATGCCTAGCGCAGAGCCCGGCGCAGGGCTTTGAACTCACAACCCTGATATCAAGACCTGAGCTGAGATCAAGTGTTGGATGTTTAACTGACTGAGCCACCCAGGCACCCCTGTAGTTCTCTTTTTTAGGGGTATCTTTATCTGGTTTTAGTATTAGGGTAATGCCGGCCTCATAGAATGAATTTGAGAGGGGTTTTTTTTCTATTTTTTTGAGAATAGGTCTTAACTCTTCTTTAAATGTTTGGTAGAATTCTCTGTGAAGCCATCTACCTGGTCCTGAACTTTTGTTTGTTGGGAGTTTCTGATTACTGATCGAATTTCTTTGCTGGTTATCAGTCTATTCATCTTTTCTATTTCTTCCTGCTTCGGTTTTAGTATTTTGTATGTTTCTAGGAATTTATCCATTTCTTCTAGATTGTCTAATTTGTTGGCATATAGTTTTTCATAATATTCTCTTATGATTGTTTGTATTTCTGAGGTGTTGGTTGTTATTTCTCCTCTCTCATGATTTTATTTATTTGGGTCCTTTCTGTGTTCTTTTGTAAGTGTGGCTAGAGGTTTATTAATTTTATTAAATTTTTTTTTTTCTGAAGAACTAGCTCCTGGTTTCATCGATCTGTTCTACTATTTTTTAGTTTCTGTCATTTATTTCTGCTCTAATCTTTACTATTCCTGCTAGCTTTAGGCTTCATTTTTTTGTTCTTTTTCTATCTCCTTTAGTTGTAAGATAAGGTTGTTTATTTGAGATTTTTCTTGCTTCTTGAGGTAGACCTGTATTGCTAGACACTTCCCTATGAGGACTGCTTTTGCTTCATTCCAAAGGTTTTGGACCATTGTGTTTTCATTTTCATTTATTTCCATGTATTTTTTTTCTTCTACTCATCTTTCTTTTTTAATATTTGACTTCCCAGCATAATCTCCCATGCTACTAAGTTCTCACATTCACTTAGCCAACATGGCCTAAAAGAAGTAAGATTGCTCTTTAGAAAAAAATGGAAGTGTTCAATATAAATGGACTGACATCTATCATGTCCTCACCTCCCAGTCTTGACTAGATTAACTCTTAATATTAAATGGTCAGGTTTTTATCTCTCTCTTACCATAACATCATTTTTTCCTTAAGATTTATAAATGAAAGCATCTGTTTTCTAGGAAAATTTTTATGAGAAAATAAGAGCTGAGCTATTCCTGTGTTTTTAACAGTACTTTATTAAATACAGCATTGTTTTGTACAATTTTTTTTTAAGTAGGCTCCACGCCCAATGTGGGGTTTGAACTCAACAACCCTGAGATTGAGAGTCACATGCTCTACCAGCTGAGCAAGCCAGGCGCCCCTGTTTTGTACATTATTAAGATAAAAATTGTAGATGACCTCCTTGGTTTTCTTAAGCAGATAACAACAGTTTAAAAATATGCTTTGAGATTTGTTGGAAATCTACCTCAGCACTTCATCTTGTGTATGCACTATTGTTAATTTTTTTTTTTTTAAGTTCAAATTCCAGTTGTTCATTGCCGGTATATTTTGTATATTAACCTTGTATCCTGCAGCCTTGCTATGGTGTACTTGCTTATTAGTTCCAGGAGTATTTTTGTAGATGCTTTGGAGTTTTCTATATAAATAATCATGTCATCTGTGAATAAAGATAGTTTTATTATTTCTTTTCCAAACTTTTTAAACCTTTTCTCTTTATTTTTTCCCTTAAAAGTGGTTTTACTAGTTTTAAAAACAGATAATGTAAGATTTCTTTTTTTTTTTTATTTAAGATTTTGTTTTTAAGTAATCTCTGTACCCACTGTGGGGCTCGAACTTAAAACCCCAAAATCAAGAGTCACATGCTCTACTGACTGAACCAGCTAGCCGCCCCTGTAAGATTTCTTTTAAAGCCTAATTTTCTCTCCTGCATTTCATCATTGTTTGTCAGACTCCTTTGTGAGTTCGATAAATAAGTGATTTCTTCCAGTTAGTTGATTGTATAGGTTTTTTTCTTGTTTTCAAGAAAATCATGAAGTAGAACATGAACTGATCCCTTATCATCTATATGTATATATATTCCTAGTGGGAAAAGATTCAACAATCTTAGTTTAGTCTTTTACTACTCAATATGAGTAGAAATAATAGTATTTCTTTTTTAGTTTTTCTTAACTATCTGGTTCAGTAATGTGTTACCTATGTTCATTCTTCAGGAAACACAAGAAGCAAGAAAGTCATTCAATAAGAAGGATGAAGAACATATATTGTCAGGAAGGGAAAAGAGATTGGCTGAGCAGGTATCCTCATACAATGTAAGTAAGAATAAAATATATAAGCTTTTCTTTTTTTTAACAGAGTGGTCATAAGTTTTGTTGTTGTTTTTTAAAAGATTTATTTATTTGAGGGCGCCTGGGTGGCTCAGTCGTTAAGCATCTGCCTTCGGCTCAGGTCATGATCCCAGGGTCCTGGGATCGGGTCCCACATCGGGCTCCCTCCTCGGCGGGAAGCCTGTTCTCCCTCTCCCACTCCCGCTGCTTGTGTTCCTGCTCTCGCTGTCTCTGTCTCTATCAAATAAATAAATAAAATCTTTAAAAAAAAATAAAAATAAAAGATTTATTTATCTGAGAGAGAGCATGCATGATGGGAGGGGCAGAGAGAGAGGGAGAGAGAGAATCCCAAGCAGACCCCGCACTGAGCGCGGAGCCCAACTTGGGGCTTGATCCCACAACCCTGAGATCACAACCTGAGCCAAAACCAAGAGTCAGATGCTTAACGGACTGTGCCACCCAGGGGCCCCTACGCTTTTTTTTTTTCCCTACAGTGTTCTTCCCATATTTTTTCTCTTTCTTTTATATGTCTTCCTTTTTACCTCAGTCTTTCTCTGTACATCTGCCCTGAGAAATAGTCCACTCTGTTGTGTTATATGTATTTATATAAAATCCTTTTTATAGGATTTTTTAATGTATTCATGTAATCTTTTCAGTTTTTATTTTATTTACTTCAGTCATATATTAGAAATTTAATTTTTTTTAAAGATTTGATTTATTTATCTGACAGAGAGATAGAGAGAACAAGTAGGCAGGCAGAGGGAGAGGGAGAAGCAGGCTCCCTGCCGAGCAGGGAGCCCGATGCGGGACTCGATCCCAGGACCCTGGGATCATGACCCCAGCTGAAGGCAGCCGCTTAACCGACTGAGCCACCCAGACGCCCCTAGAAATTTAACTTGTAGAGATTAGTGACAGATGATCAGAAAGCAAGAGCCCTGGTCTTGCAGCCATGTGCCCCCCCCAACCTCTGCCAAGCTGCCTGCACCACCCAGCCATGGTCAGTCCCACCGCATTCTCTGAAGTTGTGGTGGACGGGGAGCCCTCAGGCCGCATCACCTTCAAGCTGTTTGCAGATTAAGTTCCAAAGAGACTGCAGAGAACTTTCGTGCTCTGAGCACTGGGGAGAAAGGATTTGGTGATAAAGGTGCCCGCTTTTGCAGGATCATTCCGGCACTTACGTGCCAGGCTGGGGACTTCACACGCCATACTGGCACTGGCGGCCGGTCCATCCATGAGAAATTTGCGATGAGAATTTCGTCCTGAAGAACACGGGTCCTGGCATCTTGTCCATGGCAGAGGCTGGACCCCACACAAACACTTCCCAGGTTTTCATCGGCACTGCCAACGCTGAGTGGTTGGATGGCAGGCCAATGGTCTCGGGCAAGGTGAGAGAGGGCAGGAATTCTGTGCAAGCTGTGGAGCAGTTTGGGGCCAGGAACAGCAAGACCAGCAAGATCACTAAGATCCCTATTGCTGACTGTAGACAAATCTGATAAATTTGACTTATATTTTACCTTAACTACCAGGCCATTCCTTCTGTAGCTCAGGAGAGCCCCCTTTCACTCAATCTGCTCGAAATATCCAACAATCTTTGTGCTCTTGCTGCAGTGCTATGGGTTCCATGTTTTCCTCGCTCCCCTTCCAAGTCCAGCTGGATTGCAGAGTTAAGTTTATGATTATGGCATAAAAACTAAACAACAACAACAAAAGAAAGCAAGAGCCCCACTAACTCCTAGAGATCCTCAGTTCATATTTTAAATTATAAGCAGATTTGGAATGTTCAATATGAGGATTTAAATATGGGAGAAAAATGGTTTTTAAGATACAGTTCGATCTAAATTTATAAACAGTATTCATTTGACATTTTATTTCATTATATTCTCTTGCATTAAAAAAACAAAAACTGGTGAGTGGTCCAGCTAAATGTAAATCACTAAACCCTTTGGCCCCTGCAGTGTTCAAGTGTTTAAGGAAAATTACCTCTGTTCCCAGTGTATTAGTTAATGAAAAGTTCCATAAGCATTAAAAATATTTTCAGCATGATTATTTGGACATATGTAGACCAGTACACAAACAGTGAAGCATACATGAAACATTTTTTGAAACTGACCAAAACTCAACCCACAATGGAACATTTATGAAAACTGACCAGCTTTAGAGTCAAATCTCAACACAACTGAAAGAATTACTGTCATTAAAACCATGTTCCCTGACTACAAGGAATTTAAGTTAAATTCAGAATAATTTAAAAGCCTTGTACAACTGGAAGTTAGAAAAATTCAGAATTTAAATTTTGCATGAAAGACAACATAATGGACGTTAGAAAATACGTAGATGTGAATAACACAAAAATACCACATGTCAAAAATATGTGCAGTGCACTATCAGGTGATACTTAGAGGCAAAATTAGAGCCCTAGTGAGTTCTGTTAGAAAAGAATAGCTAAAGATCAATAAGCTGGGCCTTTTTCCAAATAGGCATTTCCTATAGTAAACATATATCTACCCCGTGACCCTAGAGTTTCATCCTTGGGCATCTATCTATTCAAGGCAAATGAAAACTTGTCCACACAAAGACTTGAATATGCTTTATTTTTAATGTTCTCAAAAAGACTTCTACAAGAAACTCTACCTTGGGATGCCTGGGTGGCTCAGTCAGTTGAGCGTCTGCCTTCAGCTCAGGTCATGATCCCGGGGTCCTGGGATCGAGTCCCACATCAGGCTCCCTGCTCTGCAGGAAGCCTGCTTCTCCCTCTCCCTCTGCCTGCCACTCCCCCTGCTTGTACTCTCTCTCTGTGTCTCTGACAAATAAATAAATAAAATCTTAAAAAAAAAAAAAAAGAAACTCTATCTGTGAAACTAATAATACACTATATGTTAATTAACTGAATTTAAATTAACAAAAAAGATTTGCACATTGAAAAAAAAAAAGACTCCTGGGCGCCTGGGTGGCTCAGTTGGTTAAGCGACTGCCTTCGGCTCAGGTCATGATCCTGGAGTCCTGGGATCGAGTCCTGCATCGGGCTCCCTGCTCAGCGGGGAGCCTGCTTCTCCCTCTGGCCCTCCCCTCCTCATGTACTCTCTCTCTCATTCTCACTCTCGCAAAATAAATGGATAAATCTTTAAAAAAAAAAAAAAAGAAAAAAGACTTCTACAAGAATGTTCATAGAAGCTTTATTCATATTAGCAACATTCTGTGGACAGCTCAGATGTTAATCAATAAGAGAAAGAAAAACTGAATACAGTGAAATACTACTCACCAATAAAAAGGAACCAATTACAAATAAATGGAACAACTTGGATGAGTCTCAAAGTCATTACACTGAGTACAAGGAAGTATGTACAAGGAAATACTGCACCATTCTGTTTATGTGATGCTCTACATTAAGCAGAATGAATCTGTGGTTGAAAAAAATCAGAATACTGGCTGTTGGAGGGGGGTGTGGGCATTGACCAGGAAGGGGCAAAGTGTTCTCAGTGATAGAAATGTTCCAGATTTTGATAAGATTTTGTATTGTAAAACTCAGTGAATGTAACACTTAAGATTTGTGCATTTCATTGTATGTTAATTTACCTTGAAGGAAAAAAATTGTGAATAAATATTGAATTCGAGCTAATGAAATGAATGCTGAAGTACTTAGGGATATCTGTAATGATGTCTGCAGTTTACTTTAAGATGCATCAAAGGGCGCCTGGGTAGCGCAGTCGGTTAGGCATCCAACTCTTGATTTTGGCTCAGGTCTGATCTCAGGGTCCTGAGATCTAGCCCCAAGTTGGGTTCTGTGCTGAGCTTAGAGCCTGTTTAAGATTCTCTCTCTGCCCCTCCCCCAGCTCCCTTTGCACACTCTGTCTCGCCCTCTCTATCTAAAATAAAATAAAATAAATTTTAAAAATATGCCGAAAAGATTAGAGTTATAATCTTGTGCTGAAATTTTATTCACAAGATTTACTTTTCAAAATAGTAATGGTCTTAAAAACCACCCTCTAACTCTTGGTTTGGATTAATCAAACACTCTTTAATTAAGACATTAAGACATGAAGACAAAAAAAACCCAAAGAACTAGACTCTTAGCATGAATTTTCAAAAGCGGCTAAAAAATTATCTCATTCTAAACAAATTGCCCTGGCTTTTATAAATTGTTATAAAACACACATTTTGTTAAATGATTAAATTTGGTAAATCAGAAATTGGTCATTTAGCAAATTGCTCTGTACATGAATTGTCCTCAGGGTGATTTTTAGTGAACTGTTTCTGGTTGTTTTCGTTATTTTTTTTATAGCTCCAGCATTGGTTTGGTCATGGGTGTCACAATGTGCAAGTTATGCTGAAACAGTATCCCTGAAGGTGCAGATAAAACAGTTCACTTATCATAACAAATTTGAGCACTTGAATTGTTTGAATTGATTGTAGTAGTCCAGTGGTTTAATGTATTCCTCTTTTTATTGATATTTAATTTACTAATATAGGGGATCAGTAAATTGAAACCTGCTATCTTTATTTCTCCATTTTTGTTTGCTTTTGTTACCTTTTGTACAGTACATTTGTTTGTTTGTAAGAGAGGGATGGGGGAGCAGAGGGAGAGGAAGAGCAAGTTGCCTGGGGTCTTGATCTCACGACGCTGAAATCATGACCTGAGCTGAAATCAAGAGTCAGACACTTAACTGACTATACCACCCAGGCGCCCCCATCCTTTTGTGTAGTTTTGATCATCAGTATCAATCCTGTTCCTCAGTAGTAGCTCTAGGTGAAGTAGGGCCTCTACGGCTTCATTCTTTTTCACATCTTCATGCATCTCCTCTGTTCTCTGTTTTCTCTAGCACCTTCTTAGATCTTCACACCTTTCCCCTTCCAATTCTTGATAGCCTGTCTACCTTCATCCGTATTACCCCATTAATGAGGTATTTTCTCATTCGTGAGAAAGGGAGGGAAAATGTGGAGAAATGATGCTAAAAGATTAAGGTTTTCTCGTATGGCTTTCTTATATTTATACATTCATATATAATTCTGTTACATTATAGTTCCTCATCATCCAGTTAACCCTGCCCTTCATGTCCTTTGTGTTGCTTTCCCTCTCCTCTCTATTAATACCCAGTCACCAGAAAGAATGATCTACATAGCAGGTTCCACATCTGGTGGGTCACCTGTCTGAGAACCTGGGTGATTTTTAAAAGCACGGGTTTCTGAGACTCACAGTTAGCAATTTAGATTGGCGAAATCTACGATGGGGCTCAGGAATCTGTATTTCTTTTCAGTCAGTCAGGAGTGGAGACCAGCAGTCTTCAGGTGTTTTTGCTTGGTAACCCCTAAAAGAAACCTTTATCCTTCACATCTAAAAATTTTTATTGTAAGTTTCAATAGTTACCAAAAATGTATTTTATAGGGCATTACTCTGTTAAATGTTTCAGATGGAATCCAAGTGCCATAGCAATTCAATATCAGTTATTGTCCATTAAAAAATATACCTGAACAAGCACTTCTGTAACATTTGGAAATTTTATTTCATCCCTTTTTCTCCTTGAATTCATAATTTTCTTTCTCTTCTGCCACAGAATTTTATCATAATGAAAGTCTCTTACTCTTGAAAATCTTGTATGATTATATTGACAAGTATCTCTCCCTCTCCTTCTGCCCCTCCCCACCTCACGCTTGCTCGCTCTTTAAAATAAATAAATCTTTTTTTTAAAAAAAAAGAATTGGAGGGGCGCCTGGGTGGCTCAGTCATTGGGCATCTGCCTTCAGCTCAGGTCATGATCCCAGGGTCCTGGGATCGAGCCCCGCATCGGGCTCCCTGCTCTGCGGGAAGCCTGCTTGTCCCTCTGCCGCTCCCCCTGCCTGTGTTCCTTCTCTCGCTGTGTCTCTATCTGTCAAATAAATAAATAAAATCTTAAAAAAAAAAAAAGGAAAGCACTTGACATGCAAATAAATTTGTTTCTAAAAGATTTTACCAAGATTTATGAAATGAATGAGAGGGATTAGGAAAATGGAAGTAGTGGTAATTCAAATACGTACTTAACTAATATAGTATCTTTTTTTTTTAAGATTTTTTTAAGATTTTTTTTATTTTTTTATTTTTTTGCCAGAGAGAGAGTTTTGGGGAGAGAGAGAGAGAAGAGTAAAAAGCAGGGGGAGTGGCAGGCAGAGGGAGAAGCAGGCTTCCCATGGAGCAGGGAGCCCGATGCGGGGCTCGATCCCAGGGCCCTGGAATAATGACCTGAGCTAAAGGCAGACCCTCAACCAACTGAGCCACCCAGGCATCCCAACATGATATCTTTTGTACATTCTGTTAAAACCCATAGCTCCAGATTGCGCTTATTCAGTTGATGGAGAATAACTACCACATAACCTAATTGATAAAGTCGGTTCTGGTTGTCAAATCAGCGAAGTAAGACTTACTTTCTGACAGAAAATCTCGCTTTGTTTTTCCATTCAAATAGATGTGTTGATGATTATTCCAGTGACACTTCTGAATTCTAAAGTAGAGAGGTAGGCATGATAGTTTGTCTCTTGGATGAAATAGGATGCTACATTTTCAGTGTTTCTTACCAGTGCCTTCTTATGTTGCTTTCACTAAGCTCTCTTTACTTCTTTGCTCTCAAACACATTCTTTAACAGGGTAGGGCCTGGAAGAGGTGTGGTTGCTAAGCAAAAATGACCCTTTCTTCCAGTGCCCTTCTATTCAGTCTGAGCACAGAACATTCGAACAAAAACCAAAACACCAATTTCTGAGGGATGCCACACACTTAAGAGAAATATGTTTAAGACACAGAACAGGATGCCTGGGTGGCTCAGTCGGTTAAGCATCTGACTTGATTTCCACTCAGGTCACGATCTCTGGGTTGTGAGATCAAGCCCCGCTTCAGGCTCCCCAGTAAGTGGGGAAGCTACTTGAGATTCTCTCCCTCTGCTCAGGCTTGCTCGCTCTCCCTTTCTCTCTCTCTCTCAAATAAATAAATAAATCTTCTTTTTAAAAAAAGATCCTCTGCCCCCCCACTCCTACTCTCTAAATAAATACATAAATAAAAGTCTTAAAAAAAAAAGACACAGAAGAACACAAAGCCTCCCTGGGTTTACAGTACCTCAGGAAGTTTCCCCATGCCAATATTTCACATTTTTGTTTGAAACCATGGAGACTTGGTCTCCTAGGCAGTATTCTTACAGTAAGAATCTGAGAGGCCTCTCCTTTGTGAAGTGGTAAAGGGCTATAATAAAAGGGGAGAGAGAGATCAAGATAACAAGATGCCTTATGGAGCAAATCAGTTTTAAGTGAGGGTACATGAAGAAGTTGAGCATTGTGGGTGGATAACCTTAAAATTATCCACGCCTCCATACCACATGGACCCCACGCTCTGTAAGCCCGCAGGCCCACGTCTGCCCACCTCTGAAGGCTGCCGGTTTATACTGCCTAGAACCACTGATGCATTCCACTCCCTGCTCCTTTAACTCAGGGCCTTTCTTACTTTCTTTCTTTCTTTCTTTTTCTTTCTTTCTTTTTTTTTTTTTTTTTAAAGATCTCATTTATTTATTTGATAGAGACACAGCGAGAGAGGGAACACAAGCAGGGGGAGTGGGAGAGGGAGAAGCAGGCTTCCCGCCGAGCAGGGAGCCCAACGCGGGACTCGATCCCAGGACCCTGGGATCATGACCCAAGCCGAAGGCAGACGCCCAAGGACTGAGCCACCCAGGCATCCCAGGGCCATTCATTCTTGTACTTGAATCAATACTGGAAGGTCTAGAATGACTCTCTAGTTGATGAAACCAATGGCCTTTGCTCAGACTTTATCCTACTAGGTACATTTGAAACCGTGAGCACCTGTCCCAACTAAGAAGAAAGAAAATGAGGGATGTAGGAGAAAACAGAAAACTGAAAGGAACAAAAATCTCTTAGCTTATGGAATATGCCAGGATATCCTGAGCGGGCCTTGAATTTTGTCACTCCTGTGCCATTATTTTTTGGGTTTGCCTTTGTTTCTGCTTCAGCTTAGCCATGCCCTTTCCTTCCTATCCACCTGTTCAGGCTTCACAGACCAGCACATCCATGACACTTTACCCAGGCTCCTCGGTGACAATGTAATTGCTCTTCCTTCTCACCCACGTTCTTGGCTTGGACTCTAATTATGACACACCACACATGGTTATTTCAAAGTTTATTTCCTCTCCGTCTTGCTTTTTTTTTTTATTACTATTATATAAGAATGGTAGTTAGTAGATATCTTCATTTTGGTTGAATTGAATTTCCCTCTGATACAGATCTTCTTCATAGATCCTGTCTTGGATTTGGCAAAACCTGACAGGGTTTGTAAAAAGTCCTCCTTAAGGTTCATCATTACTGCTTAATCATTTTGCTTCACGATCATATTCTGTCCGTAATCTGTACAAACAAAGATTTTCATTTCTACTCTCTTGCTTTCCCCCAGGAATCAAAAAGATCAGAATCTCTTATGGACATTCATCATAAAAAATTAAAGAATAAGGCTGCTGAAGAGAAAAATAAGCCCCAAGAAAGAATACCATTTGACCGTGATAAAGATCTCAAGGTTAATCGGTTTGACGAAGCTCAGAAAAAAGCTCTGATAAAGAAATCTAGAGAACTAAACACCAGATTTTCCCATGGCAAAGGCAGTATGTTTTTATAAGTAAGTATTTCATTGAGGTATACTTTCAAACTGATAAATTTGAACTTTTCTGAATGTTCTGTTATCCATAAATAATTGTGTGTAAAAATCTATTTCCTTTTATAATAAAGTAGATTATAAACCTGGAAATCTTTTTTGATAAGTCAACCATGTTTTTTTGAATATTCAGCCCTTATGGGATAAAAAATGTAGTTTTACCAGAAGAGTAGCTTTTGTCTTCAGGCACTGCTATTAACCAGGCATTGCCATTAAAGACACTAAAAGTAAAGTGTAGTTTATAAGAAATGGCAAAGGAAAGAGTGATTTGAAGCTTGGGTAAATATGCATGCTTTTGTAAAGAACGGAGAAAGGAGATGTGTTTATAATCCCTGTGTTAAACAAGATCACAGTTAGGAAACGTTCATTGCTTTGAAAGCCTCTCTATAAATTAAGGTTCAGAATCATTATATCCTTCATCCACAGCTCAATCTGACAAGGGTTCATAAAGGTGAGTAAGGAATTACCTAAAAGCTAAGGTTGCTTCTTAAAATCTTTATCATTTTTAACTGTATGAAACCTACATCAATATTAAAATGTGGCTTTAGAGGAAAATACAGAGGCACCTGGTTGGCTCGGTCAGTGGAGCATGTGACTTTTGATCTCAGGGTTGTGAGTTCAAGCCCCACATTGGGTGTAGAGATTACTTAAAATCTAAAAAAATTAAAAATTAAAAAAAAAGGAAAATACAATTAAAGTTAGAAATGTTTTCCAACTTACTGAACTTTCTTATTCTTCAGGGGGATTTCCCTGTGCAATGAAGAAAAGTTGAAGAATACTCTTTTATCTATCTACCTTTATCCCTTTGTTTTGAATTCCTTAAGATTAGAGGTGACTTTAGTCTTAAAAACTTACCTTGTGCTGTACGTCCTATAAGTCCTGTGGGAACCTAAAGTCAGTATTTCTTATGTGGAATAGAGTTTTATGTGTCTTTGGCTTCTGAGGAAGTGTGGGCTTTTCTTCAAATAATTATTTTGAGGACCCATCTATTCTTTAATTTCTGTGGTGTCTCACAAGTATCCTATAAGATCTGGTCAGGACTATCCACTGAATCTCCACCAGAGCTTAGACTTCCTCATCAAATATTACTCACCTGCCCTGGAGTAAGTGTGTCGGGTCCTTGTAGTCAGTCCATGAATTTGAAATTGTTTGGGTTTTCCCTCTGAACTACAGCCTGTGAATACACATTTACAAATAGAGGACTCGGAGGTTTCATCTGTTTTGTTCACATTTTGCTTGTTTGGGCAATCAGGGCTTTTTATTTGTTGCTTGGGCTTTTGTTTTTGTTGGTTGGTTGGTTTTTAAGTCAGAAAGAAGGGCCGGGCGCCTGGGTGGCTCAGATGGTTAAGCGTCTGCCTTCGGCTCGGGTCATGATCCCAGGGTCCTGGGATCAAGTCCCGTATCGGGCTCCCTGCTCAGTGCAGAGCCTGCTTCTCCCTCTCCCTCTGCCATTCCCTCTGCTTGTGCTCTTCTATCTCTCTCTCTGTCAAATAAATAAAATCTTAAAAAAAAAAAAAAAAGAAAGAAAGAAAGAAGGGCCTCTGCATTATCTCATGTGCTAAGGAAAAACTATTTTGATTTTTCCAACTTTAATAAGTATTTCTAGGGGAGGCAATCTAAGGGACAAAATATGCCATGAAGGGGCGCCTGAGTGGCTCAGTCGTTAAGCATCTGCCTTCGGCTCAGGTCATGATCCCAGGGTCCTGGGATCGAGTCCCGCATCGGGCTCCCTGCTCTGCAGGAAGCCTGCTTCTCCCTCTCCCACTCCCCCTGCTTGTGTTCCCTCACTCGCTGTGTCTCTCTCTGTCAAATAAATAAATAAAATCTTTAAAAAAAAAAATACGCCATTAAGCATTAGCAGTGTGAAGTCTAAGACTTGGTCTCCATGGTCTCAGCCAAAGCTCTCTAAGTCTTTAAACTTTGCTTTGCAGTGATCTTATTTTACCCATTTATATTTAACAGATTTTAGCTAATTTATTGGGGACTGATCTTTTATATCAGTCATGAATAGTCTTTTAAAAAAATCAAGTTCATAATCTCTGAATACAAAAATATAAATGGAAACTCGAATCATAACCACCCTAATGAGAGTATGTAAGTTTGTAATGCTTGAGGTACTATCTATTAAGATGTTAAATAGAACATTCTAAACAGTTAAAGCCTAAATTCAAATTCTCTACGTTATGTTTTCTTACAGAACCATCCTAACTGTTCACTAGTTCTATGTTGTAGTTTTGATAAAGCATGAGAGGTTTTGTTTTTTGTTTTCTGTGGGGAAAAAAAGAACACAAAACAAGAGACTAGGTGGAAAGTGTGAGGTTTTAATGGAAAAACCTGACTCCTAGTTCATTTAGGCTTTATGACAATTGAGTGAACTGTTCAAATTATGGCACAAATTATTATTTGCTTTTATGATATCAGCATAAACAGTAGCCTACTCAAGGAGCATAGCTATTAAAAAGATGAATTATTCTCCTAAGCAAAATGAAAAAACTTCTTGTCTAAGCAAAATTGAACAGAACCACCGTTTGCCTAAGATGTCATTTTTAATGAGCAATATTTTCTGAACACAAAACTTTGTGCAAAGCATCCATTGCTCTCATTTAATTTTGTTATAATTTTTCCCCGATGAAAGGAAAAAATGTTTTCAAAAGTTCCTCACCCTTATATAAATTTCTAACATATATTTTTGAGAAACTTGGAATTTTTTAAAGTAAAAATGTCACCTTTCGTTACTTATTTTTGTTTTCTTCACCTTAAGGGGATAGGATATTTCCATATCACACATTTGTTGTTTTTCCCCTCGCCTTGAAGCATCTTTGTCCTCAGCAAAAGGGAGAAAAACCTCTTCTTTCTGCCTAATGCTTTCCGCGAGTTGCCGCCTTACTGCTTGCTTGGGTGTCATGCTCTTTCATGCCAGCCCAGGGCAGTTTGAATGAAACGTAAGGCCAGACCAGAGTTTTTTACGCCCCTCAGAGAGCCCACGCCCAGTATAACAGCATTGATAATAAAAGAAGAGAGTTGCTGTTTACGCAGAATGGAAAGGTGCCCGTGTCTGCCCCTCCCCTCTTCCAAAGTGGTAAAAAAAACCTACTTAAATCAAGTCTCCATCCATCTGGCAGAAAATTGGCATTGTTGACATCTTCTAATAAGAACTTTTTAATTTCCTATACGTCTTGGCTAAGTTTTATAGAACTGTGACCTCCTGTGAAACTTAAAAATGAAGAAGAAAAAAGAGCAACACTACGTTCAAAAGGTCAAGCAAATACTTTAACTTTCTTTTCTGTTGAAGGTAACATCTAAGTTCATTGTACCTGAAATTACATGATTTTTGTCCACCTCTGTAAATCGTCATCTCAGATAGGTTGAGTTACTTCCACAAAGTAACCACATTACTGATAAATAAATGGTGGCTTTAGAAGTGAGGGAATTGGGAGTGGGGACAGAAGGTGAGAGGTGATGGTTTCACCCAATCATTATCAGATAAATTAAAGCCTTCTATATTGGGCAAAATACTGTAAATTAAGCCCTGCTCTTAAAAAAAAAAAAAAAGCCATGGTCTTTCTAAGAGTTTTTAATCGTATTTGGATATAGCAACCATTTGACATTTAATTTATCTCTTGAACTTTTAATAGTTCTTTGAATTAATGACTTTTTTTAGAAGTGAGGTTGAAATTGACATGGTACTGAAGCTTACATGCTCCAGAATAGTTATTCTATAAATTATTTGGTCCCCAAACATGATGGCACCTTTTATTTCTTATATAGAATGGATAATGTTAATATTATTACTCAAGAAACATATGATCATGGCAGATATGTTGTTAAACTATCTACAGGAGTCCTGTCACGTCTCCTTTGTATTTCTTCCATGGTAATGATAAGTATTATTAGAAAAAACAATTTTCTGTTGAGTTATGTACCTAAGAGGAAGAATTAATGTGGTGGGAAGTGGTTAGAGATAATGCCAGTGTAACATCAGTGCCAAGTCTTCTATTTTTTCATGGTATTAATTTATTTTACTTTGGCTTTTGACATCATCATGAGATTTAAGTCTGCACTCACAGAGGCCATGCATTTTCTATTATAGGAGAGGTATATTTTTTTGCAGCTTAAAAAATTGTCTAACTGGGACTCTAGTTTGTAAAGTATTATAAAGAGCTATACACTGCCCCTTTGAACCTTTTCATTTTGAACTTTACAGGAAAAGACTGTTTTTAGAAAAGAATTCCTGATGTATAATTTCTTATGTATAAATAAAGTTTCATCTCTATCTGAGAAGTTGTGGTCTTTTATTTTTGTTCTGTTTTAATATAATTAACTCCTCTGAAGCAGGCAATATTGGCAAAGAGAATATTCCACAAAAATATATTCTGGCCAATCAGATCATTTTAGGAAGAAAACTCACTTGCCACGTTTTCATTATCCCAATATAACTACAATTAGTAACTCTTTCTTTAGACATGCAAGACAAATTGGAAATGCTCTTAAGAGCACCATGGCCCAAGAGGGACTAGAACTGGCTTATAACCAAGATTCCATTGTTCTATGTATCATAAGGTTTTATAACGGTAGGTGTTTTCAGGGGTGTTTAATTATCAGCTTTTTTTTTTCCTTTCTCTACTTCCCAAATTCTTTCAGAAAGCATGTGTTCTTTTATAATTTAGGGTGGGGAGGTTATCCCCCCTTTTTATAAGGTCCTAATTTTTTATTATATAGGGTTGGTTGAGGATGAGAAACTTTTTAGGTAAAATGATAAGGAAAGTCTTTCTGAAGAGACGTGGAGGGATGCGGTGGCTGGGTGATAGACATTGGGGAGGGTATGTGCTATGGTAAGCGCCGTGAATTGTGTAAACTGATGAATCACAGACCTGTACCTCTGAAATGAATAATACATTATATGTTTAAAAAAGAAGAAGAAGATAGTAGGAAGGGAAAAATGAAGGGGGGGAATTCGGAGGGGGAGACGAACCATGAGAGACTATGGACTCGAGAAACAAACTGAGGGTTCTAGAGGGGAGGGGGGTGGCGGATGGGTTAGCCTGGTGATGGGTATTAAAGAGGGCACGTACTGCATGGAGCACTGGGTGTTAAACACAAACAATGAATCATGGGACACTACATCAAAAACTAATGATGTAGGGGCGCCTGGGTGGCTCAGTTGGTTAAGCGACTGCCTTCGGCTCAGGTCATGATCCTGGAGTCCCGGGATCGGGTCCCTCATCGGGCCCCCTGCTCGGGAGGGAGTCTGCTTCTCCCTCTGACCCTCCCCCCTCTCATGTGCTCTCTCTCTCTCTCTCTCTCTCTCATTCTTTCTCTCAAATAAATAAATAAAATCTTAAAAAAAATTAAAAAAACTAATGATGGTTATTAACATAACATAATAAAATAAAATTAAAAAAGAGAAAAAGATGCTAGCAGTGTGAACAGTGACTGACCACACATGCAAAGGCCTTGAAGCATTAGTTCTGAAGTGTTTGAAGAAATGCACCTGTGTGGGTGGTATATAAGAAATATGGGGGCTCAGCGTTGGTCCTTGCTACTAATGCTAGGAACCCCATAGAAGGGCATCTGACCCAGTTTTAGAAGGTGAAAGGAAGCCTCCCAGAAGAGTATACTTTTTTTTTAAAGATTTTATTTATTTATTTGAGAGAGAGAGAGAGAGAAACAGCATGAGAGGGGAAAGGGTCAGAGGGAGAAGCAGGCTCCCCGCTGAGCCAGGAGCCCGACGTGGGACTCGATCCCAGGACTCCGGGATCACGACCCGAGCCGAAGGCAGTCGCTTAACCAACTGAGCCACCCAGGCGCCCCCAGAAGAGTATACCTTAGCCAAGTCATAAACATCACCCAGGAGTTAGTTAGATGGGTCCTAAACCAAAAATCTACCCTACTGGCCTTCTAGAATTTCCCAACCATGTCTGAATTCACCCTTTAGGCCCTTGCTCTGAAGACAGCATGTACTCCACTCATGTCATCAGCAGAAAATTAGCACATTGAACTTCTGTCCATACCTGTCACCAAAACTGATTATTTTAAGTAGAGCTGGGGTTGGGAATCTTTGAGGTTAGAGTCAGGCAATCTCTGTTTTTAACAATTTCCCAGGTCATTCTTTATAAACTCAAGTTTGAGAACCACTGCATTTATTATCTACATAGTCGTTCTATGTTGCATAGCTACAGTCACTAGTACCAGCAATAACTTGCATTATGAAGAGTGGAGAAATTAAATTGTCATTTCTTGGGTTTTTTTTTAAGATTTGATATTTATTTGACAGAGACACAGCG